AAAAAAAAAAAAAAAAAAAATATATATATATATATATATATATATATATATATTATTAAAGGAATACAGAGGGCAGTAGAAATTAAAACACTGAACTAGGCCTGTGAATTAAACATAACTCAGATATTTTTACTGTCACATAACCGTTACACTAACTACGGGTAGGATAATAGTAAGTAAAAGCTAACTGAAAAGCAAAGAGCCTGCGTCGCATATTATTGTTTATTTTCAAAACAAACAAAAAAAAAAAAAAAGGAAGGGAAAAGAGACATTTGGAGATCACATGCTCTGTTGTGCTGACTGATACTCTTTGTCAACTTCCATGGGAGTAGCAGCAGCTGACAGAACATGCCCAGCCACCTACCCCACATGTTCTTGACGAGGTCTGTCTGCTCCATGAACCAAAAAGCTGACTTCCTACACAAAAAAAGAACAAGCAATGATTCAGAAGCTGCAGATGTTTATTACAAGTTCTTGAGTTCTGTGTCATGTTTCTGAGTGCTGAACATGTTGCAGCTATATTCAAAACCCAACAGAGAATAAAAAGATGCACCAATCTCAGTCCATGCAATATTTTAAATCATTGAAACACTATCTACCTATAGGTAAATTTATTTGTTTTCTTGTCAAATTTCTAACCACAATTTCAACCATCAAGCCAATTTTTTTTTAAAACTAAAAGAAAAAAGAAAGTTTTTACTAAGAGTTCAGATGTTTGTAAAAAAGGTTTTTACTATGAAGAGCTTTTTGTTTTTACCATTTTTAGAGCTCATCCTTGGCTTCTGAATCAGGCTTTGAGTCCTTGGGTTTTGAATCTGCCTCTGTGTCCTCCTTGGGCTTTGAATCTACCTCGGCGATTCTATCACGGTTTGTCTCGATGAAATTTATGATGTCTTCCTTGGTTCTATCACCGTTGTAATCCACCAGCTTTCCACTTGCTGATCTGAAATACACAGTTGGGTAACCTTGGACATCGAAATTGCCATCTGCAATGTCGTTCGCGGTGGCATCCTAGATGGTTAAGGAAAATGAAATGAATCAAACCGAAGTTTAATGAATTGAGTAACAAAGCTTGTCCAAGTAGACCCTCCGAAGTTTGTAGAGATTAGATATAACCACAGAGAAACGTAAGGGAAATAAATAGTTGATCAAATATATTTGAATTGTCTCATAGACCAAATACGCAGATAGCCCTTTTCAAAATAAGAACAAAAAATTGCAGATATCAGCTACAAATTCAAACAGGACAAGGAAATTAAAATTCCAGATTCAAAGGTAATGGATCTTACAAACTTAGCAATGATGATTTCAGGATCGCTTTCATATGAGACAGCCACTTCCTCTAAAGTTGGAGCAAGTTTTTTGCAGTGTCCACACCATGGAGAATAAAATTCCAGTAAAACTGCCCGACCAAACAAGCCAGTTAGTTAATGAACATAGACTAAACAACAAGATCAGGTTCAGCCAGATTTCGATTAAACTCCAAAATGAAATACTAGACATTAAAAAAATGGATTGAAGAACCAGTTACTTATGAAATGGCAAATATTCTTAGTGGTTTCACATTACAGGTCAGTTTCATGGCTCAAATATTTGAAATCAAGAATAAAGGAAAATCAGAAGAGACACTCTCTCTAACACACCAAGCGATATGAGATAGTAATTAATTGCCTAATCAGTAATCGTCAAGTGAAATTAACGATTTCATAAGAAGATCTCGGCCTTAAGTATGAAATGTAATGATGAATACGTACAAACATACTGAACTAAAGTTATTTCTAGCTCATATTTTCTTAAGATCATATTTGTGAACTATGCCATACCATTCTTTCCAGATTTAAAGACTATATCCTGGAGACTATCAGCAACAACCACTTTCACGGGTTCATTGTTACTCTCGGGAATGGGTTCCGACTTAACGAATTGAGGCACATTGCCATTCTGCAATTAGAAATTCAGAGTCAAAATACCAAGAACATATAATTCCAAAAAGCAAAAATAAGAAAGGAATTCAGAAGACCAAGAACGAGTTTGACCTTGTAATCCTTCATCCAAGGGGCAATCTGATCAGCCTCCACATTGAAATTCACATACTTAAACCTATCATTTTTTTGCACAAGAAGGACAGGCACTTGTTCTTCCTTAAGTCCAAAATACTGTTGATGCAAACCAATAAGGTATCAAACATGTGAGGCATAATGTAGAACAAAGTAAACAACTTAAATAGCCACACAAAGCAAAAAAAGAATACAAACGTTTAGGGCAGCTTGACTGGATTGACTGTCCCCAATTAGGAAACTTATTCCCTCTCCTTTGTACTGTTCAGCAACTTCACGGTACTTGGATTTCAAAGAATCAGCAACCTCACTGGTGTAATTCAGAAACAGCATAGCCTATCCAACAGCACAGGAAATTATATATCAAACCTCATTAAGGAAACGAAATCTGAAAGTTGTTTACAGTATGAATGATAAGTATCGATAGGAAAAGTGAGCGGAGAACATTAGTATACAAATAGCTCCATGCAGACAATGGAAACATTTCTTTAACTAAAGAGAACGGTTCTCACAGCGGATCATGCCACTTTACCTTATCATTAGGACTGTTGAAGAACTTGGAAAGGTAGACGTGATTGTTAGGATCATTATCAAACACCGTTACCAAGGGAATACTAGATTCTTCAATGAACTTCTCCAACTTAGCTGCATCAAAGTCCTGAATTCATAGCTCCAATAAGAATCAGTGTGCTAAAAATTAAATCATAAGAACCCAAATTTAGCACACAATGAAATGAAATTCTGGTACCTTAAAATCAACAAATTGTTCATCGAATGGTTTGAAAAGCCTGACGACCGGACCAGATACAGATGTTTCTCCACGTGGAAGTAGCTTAGCATCCAAAGTGTGACCAAAACTATAGTCAGAACGTAACTTCTCAGCCAAAGCGATGTAACTATCAAACTCTTCTCCAGAAAGTTTTGGAAAGATCCCAACCTGCAAAACCAGGGGAAATTAATTTTCTTAGATACTATGAAGGAAAAATGTAACAACACAAAACTGGAAAGAAAGAAAGGATAAGAGTTTTAGTTCATACAATGAAAACATTCTTAATGAGATTACTAGCATCCTCTGCGGATTTGATTTCAGCAGATGCAGGCCCACTTTGCTTCTTCAAGTAGTCAACAATCCCCTCTGCATCGCGAGGTCCCTTATAGTCTTGACTTGATTTGCCCCCATTTCTGAGTATCTTAATAGTGGGGAAGCCCCTAATTTCAAATTGACCTGCCAACTCTCTGTTTGACTCTTCATTTGCATCAATTTTGGCTAAGACAATTGGAGGGTCATGACTGCTCAAAATAGACGCAGCTTTTTCATACTGTATAGAAAGATAAGATTGGATAAAGCCATAAGCAACAAGGACCTCAAGCATAATTCAAATAAAACATCTTAGAATGGGATATGAAAATTAGCTTACCTCTGGTGCCAGTTTCTGGCAATGCCCACACCTAGATCATTGAGGGAAAATGTAAGGGGTAAGCTCAATAACAATTCATAATGTACTAATGGAAAATTTAAAACATCATAAATATGATATGAAGGTTGAAATCTGCATCGATTCCAAAAATTTCCACTGCTTCTCAAGGGAAAGGATCGCAAAAAAGAAAAAGTCAAACATAAGTTGTTTTCATAATTTCAAAATCACTCCCAATTGCCCCAAGTACTCTTAAGATTC